ATTTAGGGAATTTTTATCATGTGCTAAAAGCCTCATACATTGATTTCACATAGAAAATCAGAATTCAATGTTCAATCATAGGCCTTATCTCCTATTCCAAATCATCAAAAGAATTTTGGTTCACAATAAGAGGTATAAATTGTAAACTCAGCAAAGGCCTAAAGCATCACAAATCCAACAATAAAGCCTCATATCCATTTGTTTCAAAACAAAAATAAGAATTACAATAATTTAATCATGGGATTACTCTCCTATTCCAAATCAGAAAAGGTTAGTTTTGGTTCACAAAGGGAGGTGCAGATAGACAAAGTTTAGAACTCATTATTCAGAAAAGCAAAGTCAGAATCGCAACGGTCTAGCCCAAGCAACAGGTGCACAGTTCAGAAAAAATAGCAGGAAACAAAGCATCTCAGAAACTAAACATATCAGAATTTGCTAAAAGCCCAATAACAGATGACAGAATCAGACAAATATCAGGTTATCAAGCCCAACAAATAGATGCACACATCTCAGTAAAAACCAGTGATTGCAGTAAGCGTGCCATCAAACAAAATATCAGAATAGAAAAATAAAAGATATTAGAATTACAGCTCTGCAAAACTTCTCAAGCAAGATTCATCTCGAATAAGATCCTCACCCTCCAATCCTTATAACAAACTCTCACAATGAACAACTCAGATCAAATCAATCCCTAACTGTTTTTTCAAAATTGATACAGATATAAAAATAGAATTTCACACAGTTAATCCTCATTCTTCAATTTCTGGAAGAATCACAAAAAAAGTTTCACCAAATTCATCTAAAAAAAAGAAATAAGGTTTTCAAAAATCAAATTCGTATCAAAGAACTAGAGAAGTTATCAAGCAACACAAACAATCCAACCCTAGGTTCTACATCATTTTCTGAAAACAAACCCTTCAGAAATTTTTCTTCTCAGAAATTGCGTGTTCTGATCACAGAGAAAGAAGAAGAAGAAAAGGTTCCAGATCAGAAAGATATCATCAGAGAGGCCTCAGATGTAACGTCTTCACTATCAAGAGTGTATTGTCCTCATCGTCATCAGTGATTTTCGCCATCGGAGCAGCTAGGGTTTCAAATGTTCCCTTCAAGATATACACATAATCTTTCAATATGTGCAAGATCAAACACCAAATTAGTGAAGAGAAGAAGAAAAGGAAGCTAGAGGTGTAAAAATATTGAAGATTGGTGCAAGATCGTGATCTGCCGTCATCGCCTCTGTCGTGAGGTGATTTTCAGTGCGATGGCCTCTTCATCGTCTCTGGCTAATTGTTGAGAGAGAGTGAGAGCACATCAAGAACGAGAGAGAGGAGTATCATTTGTGATGTCATTTAAGTTTTGTGTTAAATTTGTTTTAGCTAATTAAGTGTTTATTAAGCGCTAATCAGGTGATGACAATTGTCATCACCTTTGTGGTTATTAGTTTATTATGCTCAGGTGTATCACTATAGCTACTGTGTTCCTTCTTTTGATAATCGTCTGATTTCTTTAAGATCAACATCAACACATCATAATCACATGACCACTACGCTCTCTCATGGAGCCTCACATCGGATCCACCAGGTTCCACGTGTGTCTCCTCATCAATCTTATGATACACCACCACCTCGTTGCCATCAGATTTGTCCATAACAAGATCTAACGCTCCAGCATTGCACGTCCCACCATACTCCCTCCAGGGCCTCCCACATTGGATCCAGCGAATCTTCTATTTGGGCCTAGAGAATCTCTTTTTTCACACCCCCTCTTTAGATGATCTCAGGCCCATTTTGATCTTCTTTTTTATATTTCTTTTGTATTGTTTGTTTAAGTATTTTTCTTTAACAATTAATAATAATAAAAATGAATAACAATAAAAAAATATTTGTTTTAAATAATTAATTAGATCGGAAAATAATATTTGATAGAATTAATTGTTTTGTTAATTAATTCTATTAAATAATATAGTCCAATTTAATTAGTTATTTAATATTTCGATTGGGTTGTATTGCTTGTTTATTTATACTTTTAATCGTGTTTTTGATTTGATACACCTCATTCATAAACTTCTACCCCCATTCCCATATGGTTTGTAATAGCTTAGAATTTTATTTCTTTATAGTTTAAAATTTTATTTCTTTTATATGTTTTAATCATCGTTTTATTGTGCATAATCATACAATTAGAGCACATGACCTCTCCTTGGTCTACATACCAAGTTTTTCTTAAAGGGTTTCATAGTTGAGTTTGGGCATGGCCATTCTCACGAGATTAATCAAGTATAGCCCTTGGTCAATCATAAGATCGAATCAATCATTTAGGTTCATATACCAAGTGTTCTATGCACAAAAGGATCTCATGGTTGAGGGTAGGAGCACCTACTCTCACGAGATTAATCAAGTACACCCCTTTGTTAATCATAACCTGATTAACCTCCCATACACCAAGCATTCTGTTTATCTTATGGACACTTGTGCTATGATCTTGCGATCAATCGTTGGTGCAACCCGGGTGCTTAATCATTGATTAATTGAGGAAATCCAAGGAGGCGTTGTAATACCCCAAATTTGTCCTACCCTTTCACTTTTATTTGGCTTATGCATTTTTGCACTTTTCTCATGTACATAACTCCCATTAGGCCATCTAACACATCATTCATTCATTAATCAATAAAACATGGCATGTGATCAAAGATATTGAGGAATTAGAGTTTCTATATGCTTTTAAGCTCTTATCTTCACTCAGGTTTAAATCAACTGGTTTTTTTGTCGATCAGGTTTTGTTTAAAGCTAGGGTTTTAATTCATGGATTTCTTTATCACCAAGCTACGGGGTTATTCGCCTCTTCCTAACATCAAATTGCAAGGCTTGCTCACATCATATGGAGCTCCACTTCCTCAATATTCTTGTTGCGTTCTTCAACATATAAGGTGGTTGTGATTGCTCACCATGTAAGTTGTCCTATAAGGTCGCCTAAGGGTTACCAGTTCAGGTATTTAGCATCGTCTTATGTTTGTCATCGTCACCACTCGATTAGGCTTTATCTTCATAAGCATGTGGACTTTAAGGAAGGGTTGCACTAAGAGTTGTTCATCAATTAAGTCTTACATTCTCAAGGATTCAAATCATGATTCAAAAAGCACAAGACATGGAGAAATCTTAGAGTACTCATGGTATACTAGGGTTTTTGGTTCAAGAAGTTTCAATATGCAACACAAGGCAACAATATCTTCAGAGGATCCCATCCATGGAAAATTAGGGTTTGTGGATATCTTAATGCAAGATATTTCATCTGAATGCTTGGTTTACTTGTGTTACTAGATTCTTTTGAGTTTATTCCGAAGTACATTAAGCCATAGACTCAATGCTTATCATGAAGGATTAAGATTCGGCGCTAAGGGTTAAAGTTCTTATAACAATGATCATTCAGTCATTTTGGGATAATCAAAGCACAATGACACGTTCAAGGGATAATTCAAAGGTTGAGTTTGATTCAAAGTCTAAATAACTCAAACTCAAAGTTTTGTGCATGTTTCTTCAACTAAGAGTTTGCTTCAAAGGCAAGTTAGTTAGAATTTGAGATTGGAACATGGAGATTGAAGTCTCTTAAAATTACAAGTGTGGCGTGTAAAATTGATGCAAGCTTCTAATGGAGTTTTTGAATTCAATTTTCGGAATAACATATCAAAAAGAAAATACCAAAATATCATTAAAATTCATCTAAGTTCCAAATATTACAAAATCACATAAATACAAGTTCGGTTGCTATTACATCATTTGACACTATTACATTACATAAACAGGAAGGATTACAAATTTCACAAAAAACACTATCTTAAACCTATGCGTCCTAAACTTATTTCGTTCATCTTCAATCTTCATGCTATTGTATCTTCAACCCTTGCTCACTTCTCAAGCTTCTAGCAATGCATATGCCTTGGACATTCCATTCTTTATCCCTTCCCTAATACTACAAAATCAGACCTGATTTTTATTCAAATAAATTGGCAGCCCTGCATTTTGTTCAAGAAACCAATTCACCAAATCAGTTCACGAAAGCTTGTTACAAAAAATATGCATATAATCATTCATCCAAAAAAACAGAAGTCTGCATTGTTAAAAACAGGTCCATACCACTTTACAACAAAATCAGTTCAAAAATATACAATCTATAAGGCTAATAAATTCATTCATTTCTAGTTCCTAACAAATCATTCAAAACCGATTTTTCTAACCAACTTTCAGTTAGGTTTTTAGCCATGTCCATAACCCCTCTAACTAAAGCCTAACATATATCAAACCCTTTAACTTCATAACAGAATTTCACAACTAACCCCTAACAGTCCAAATAACCCCAACCGCATAACATAATTCTCAACCGAATTCTAACTCCCAGTCTTTTCCTAACCATTTTTAAAATAATTTCCTAATTGTTTTCCAACACCAACCGAATAAGAAGAAAAAATAGAATTTCAGCCAGCATTCTAAAAAACAAAAAACTGTAACTACCCTTAACCGAACTCCAACTGTCCATAACCCAGATAACAGAACTTCAAGCAAAACTGATTTCATAACAGAACCGTAACATATTTTCTAACTGTTTTTAACAAGTACCAAACTAACTGAATATAACAATATAGCAGAAAGATAATAGAAAAAAGAAAGCTAGAAAAAGATATGGTTGATAACAGAAAGTCACAGTTACAAGAGGGTACTCACTTCTCAGTCCTACTCTCTCAGAATTCTTCCTGAGTCTTCATCATCTTCAACCTTCTTCATCTTTCAATTCTTAGAGAATCATCAATTTCTTCTTATATTTCCTCTTTAATCTCCAACCATAACTAACTTTCCAACCACCAACTCCTAACAGAACTAGCCTATAACAGGAAATTCGGTTCTCTCGTTTTTGATTCACTCAACACTCTGAGAATCTCTGCACCTTTCATCATCTGCTCAAAGGAGAATTTGCCACTTCTTCTACGCCATTAACAATCTTCATCATTATCAAAGCTCAGTATCCATCATCATCATCACCTCTTGTTTTCTCTGCTCTCGGCTTCGGTCTTTAAGCTTCTTTGAATCTTCATCTGTAACCTATCAACATCACAGAGAAAAACAATCAACAAAAATTTCCCAACACACGCACAGAAACACATAGAACCCGAATCGAAGGAGAAGAAATAAAGAAGAAGTGGATCGCAAAAGTAATAAGTCAAAGGCTTACTTTATCATTGGTTTTCTCGTCTTTCTCAAGTTGAAGGAGCACCGGATGTTCTCCGGTTGGTAAGATTTGCATCTCATCGTTTCGCGTTTCCATTTCTTGTATGAGTCTGTTCTCATCGCGAACTAAGATATGAGAGGAGTAAGTGAGACGACAGATTAATCACAGACGGCGAAGTCTCTCAGCATCGATGAAGATGAGACGAGATTTATCATGTGGTTTGTATTCACGATCGAAACTAGAATCGTCACCGGCAACGAGCGAGATCGGAGTTTGAGCGGAGGATGAGATGGGGAGGAATAGAGTCTTCTTGTTTGGAATTAGATGAAGCGTCATGCCCAATTTAACCCTAAGTTCCTGGTTTTGTTTTTTATTTATTTGTTTATTTATTCTGTTATTAAACAATAATAAAAAAATGATGATATAGATTCTGGGCTTGACCGAATTCTCTTTCTCTTGGCCCATTTCTGTGGTTTGTGAAGCCTCATAACAATATACAAATGCTGGTGGACCTCTTCTAGACTGGGCCAGATTGCATTACACTTTAGGCCTGTTTCCATCTATTTGAAACTTGAGTTATACAACAAAAATAGCTCTTGGGCTTCATGCTGACTGGGCCTAGCGCATATCAGCTACAATTCACCATTGGACCCAGCTTTGCACCCCCTAATTATTCTAACTCTTTGTAGAATTTAGGAATTTTTCTCTAATTAATTTTATATACTTTTGTTTCGATAAAATTGTAAAAATCAATAAAATTTGTTACTTTTTTAATCGAGTTTAGGAAATTAATTCTTTAGTTTTTTAGAATTACCTCACATAAAAAATAAATAATTTTTTCTTTTAGTTTTTATCCATATTTTCATGCCGCTTTACCCTGTTATTTTTGACGCGTTAGTTCATTGTGCAAGGTACATTCTTTTGCTTTCGATCATGTAACACAACAAGGTGTTATGCGATCGAAACATATGGCTTATGCTCGCTTCCGATGCGACACGCTTTATTTCTCATCATCCTGAGAAATTCATATTGTATTATATGTTGTCTTGATACATGTGATGTTTTGTGATGCTTTGTGCATGAACTCCTGATTACGCGTTGCATTCGTAACACGCATTTGCTTTTATCTTAGTTGGATATCATTTCTGACTTTGTTTGTTTATGGTGAAGCTTGCTCGACACGTACTCCCTGCTTCTCCGGTGCTTTCGTCTACCTTCGACGATTCACTTGCTTTTGGTAGTCACCGCTACTACCTTTGTATTTCTTAGCACTTTATCATACTTCTTTATTTCTTTTCTAGAGATCATGAGAATTAGGGATTTACTGCTTTCTGATCCCATGAGAAGTAGGATAGAGATGTATGACGGGGGTCTCTGTTGCTGATCATGTCAGGAACCTCTCTGGTTTATTTAAAGACCCGTTTAGGGCAATTCCACATTGTTTGCCATTGTGTGCTACTTGTGTGTGGTTTGTTTAAAACCCTACCTTTGTGTAGGTATTCTGCAGGTGTGTTTATATTTGTGCCCGTATTATTCCCCCATCCCTTATTGAAGTCCTCAAAAGGAGGTGAGCGGGGAGGGTTAGTAATCGACCCCCGCAATTTCGTCAATGTCATCCATAGCTCGTGGCGCACCACGAAGCTTCGTAGTCGTGCCTGATCTTGTATATCGAGTCATCAAGTGGGGAAGGGTTCCACAATCGATCCCCCATGATGTGTTAGGAGTTCGCATTGGCCGATGCTGATACTCCGTGATCGTTCATATTGCCTTCTGTCACCTACCTCGATCTCATATATCTTGGTTAGGTGTTCAGTCGCTTTGGACATCACATTTTTGTTTTTTCATCTCACTCCCGCTTTTTTGTCTCGGGTGATACGCTCCCCTTGGTTAAAGCATTTTGCTTATTTTCCTTACTATTTTATGCATGTTCTCTTTCGAGCTTGCTTATTTTATCCTTGTATGTACCATGTTATCTTAGGACGTGCTTGCTCCTTTCGGACACAAGTTATAACTTAAGTTGCAAACCATGCATGCTAACATTAGGTAGAAGTTTCCCTTTTGTTAATCCAAACCTTAGGACTACCATTGTATGATAATATCAAGTTATAAATAGGCTAGTCTCCCTTAGACTCTTTGCTCCCCCTCTTGCATCCTTGCATTTAAAACTTCCTTTCTTAGCAAATCAAAAACATGCTAATCATACCTAAACCCTTTTTCAAGGTAACAAAACACAAACCAATCAAATGTGGCATCTTGCCTCGAGGGTGTAACTCGAAACTATTTTCAAGGAAATGATTAATTTACTTCTATGCCAACGCGTGAGTCTCCAAAAGTCGAGCTGCGGCAAAAGGCTTTATTAACATCGTCCATAAAAAACACAAAACAAACAAAAACATGTTAGCCGAACTACGGTAGCTCTGATTCCTCAAAAAGTATACGTAGGCATTGGGGTAGGGCCCAAGCGAGTACAACTTTATTTTCCCTACATTCTTTTCTCATTTATTTTGCATGCATTCTTCCTCAGTATTAAACAATAAGCATAGATTAAACACAACCATAAGATAGATAACAAGAGTGGATACCATAGAGTACTACGAGCGTGTGGGGTGTTAATACCTTCCCCTCGCGTAACAGAATCCCTTACCTGATCTCTCAGTCGCAAGACCGTGACTTCTTCCTTCTCAGGTTTTCTCGATGTTTACCTTTCCCTCCATGTGGGATAAAAGACGTTCGATGGCGACTTCATTGTTTGATCATTTTCAGCTGGTTGTTTCAGGCGTTCAGTAGAGTTTTCTTATCTCGTGCGTGTTGAAGAGGCAATAGACCTTCTCCGTTAGGTAACATCATACCTCTCTTCATCTATCATCTATAGTTGATACATGCTTCTTGATGTCTTGTTGTCTCTTTATATGATGTTTTTGTTATCCATTCTCCCTTCTTTATTGAACTCTCCTCTTGTATGCTCCTCATAAGTTTTTAATTCACTCTTTTCTAAGTGTGAATTGAATATACTTTAGGCTTGTATCCATGTGTGATACGGTGGGAGAACTGACTTGGGATTTGCGTTTGTTTTCGCACTTGTTCGGTTTAGCAAGAGTCGCCACCGACTTTTTATTTATCCTAAGGAAAGGTCAAAAAGCACAGGAAAGACCTTTGAGATGTTTTCGTGGGTTCGGGGGGTATATTATGAAAAGGGAAGGTGCTAGCACCCTTTTCATCCATGGTTATCCATGGGCTCTTAGTTACTTGTTTTAGATCACTTGCCTTTGCTTTTCATTTGTTTGAAATGGTGCTTTGTGTGTGTGGTTTTGAAAATGTTTTGAAAAAGATGCCTTGTCTAGGCAACCTTTGTAATGACTCTTGTTTGAGTATATACAAAGGTGTATGTCTTTTTGAAAAGATAATTCAATGTTTTGAAAGTTGTTTGGAAATTGTTTTTGAAGTTGTGTTGTGAAGTGTGTTTTGAAAAAATGGCAAGGATATTTTGCAAGATTTTTGATCAAGTAACTAAGAGTTGTCTACCCTATTTTACTCAAAGATTTTCTTATGTTTTAACCCTTTTAACAGTGTTGTTTCACCATTGTGTTTGATGAACAACCTTGCGTTAGGATGTTGAACGAGACAAGCGTGGGTCATCGTATACAATCATTGAAGGTAACTTGTGAGACGCTCTAGCAATTTTGTAAGGGACGCGATCGTTTTATCGAAGGCAACATCGAGGGTCATCGAGGGACTACGATCTTTGTTTATCGAAGGAACATTTGCTAGAGTGTCTCATACTCGAGGGACATGATTGCATTTTCCGAGGCAACAAGCGAGATTACCCTAAGGGTGCATGTGTGCAAAGTGTGTTTTATTGCATGCATTTAGTCTTTGATTAGAGGTTTCCTACTAGTTGGTTTTATCTTTCCATACACACCTATTTACTAGCATTTATATAAAGCAATAAAAATGTAGCAAATAAATATCCTACACTATTAAAACCATATTGAAGTGCAGAAGAATATAAAGGAAAAAATAAGATAAAAAGAAGAAAAAATGAGCCCCTTCGATTTGGGCAGGAGCAACCTTCGATTTTCATTTCTAGGCTTCCTTTGATTGGGAGTTCGCACCAGTGAGGTCATGGCCTTCGATTGGGCTTTGGCACCAGTCAGGTCATGTACTTCGATTGGAGGTTGGCACCAGCATGGGAGTGCCTTTCGTCTGAGCCTGGACTTAGTGCAAGTGTGCCTCTGGCTGGGCCTTTCTGCCTTGTTGTCTTCTTCGATTGGGCCAGTGAAATCAGTGTGAGTGTGTCTCTGGCTGGGCCTGGAAGTCAGTGTGGAAACCAAAGGCTTCGTTTCATACTCCTGTCTCTTGTTTCTTTCGTTTGAACTTTTTGAACAGCAACATGGCATAAGCCCATGCTAGTATTGCCTTACAATCAGTTAACACTTAATGCATATTTAAGTAAACAAGCAGCAAAATGAAAGGTGTTAGCTCTGAAAACATATTAAGTAGGTGGAAACGAAAAGAACCAAAGTGTTATGTACATGTTTTGAAATGAAAGGGAAGATTATTCACATACTATGCCATGAAACGAAAGGTTCAAGGGTAAGAGTGACTTACCTTGCTTCAGGCCTTGAATGGATGTGGGATTCGAACTTGAACTTCTACCTGGACGTTTCTGGAATTCGAAGAGTAGTCACAGGGGGTTTGCTTTTGGTTCGAAGAGTTGTCACATAAGGTTGTCTTTGAGTTTGAACAAACTTCTATGTGTGGGGTGTTCTTCAGAATCGAAAGAGGTGAGTGTTTGGGATTCTGGGTTTTGATTTCTCAAGTGTTGATGAACTTGAGAGTTTTGTTGTGTTTGAGAAAATTTGGGAGATTCGTTCCTCTGGTCCAAAGATCCTCCCCTAGCTTTGTAAATGTTCCTCTATTTATAGAGAAAGAATGGACATGTTGTCCAAAGCCAGCCTTGCAAATAAATGATAAAATAATGTAACGTGAAAGTACATGTGGGGGGCCTCTTGGCAGTTGGGGTGCAGAAGATGTGACTTATGCTTCTAATGTTGCTTGTGCTCAGACGAAAATCAGGTTGAAAGCTGATTTTGTGACTAAAGTACTCTCTATGATAGGAAAGAGCATGTAGCCTTTAACCAATAATAGTAGTATCTAAAAGACAAAGTTTAAAACCCTTGTACAAGCTTCTGACTATGTAAAGATTTGGACGCAACATAGCCTGGAAAACAAGATTTGGTCTTGAGTCAAATGCAAGAACGAGATCGAAGCGCACTTGTTCGAAGGAAGCCTTTGCCTCAGTCGAAGCTTGTGGTCGAAACAAGCTTACTCGAAGG